GGCTCGACATTTCGTAGAACGATGGATAGCACTCTACGTTTGTGCCTCTACTGTCACGACTGGTCGAGGAGCACACTTTTAATCACCGTCACCTTAAGAGTGCCCCTCGGGCACACAAGAACCCTAATTGGTGCGAGACGTTACCTCTTGTTCTGTTAGGCATCAGAACATGCGTAAAGGCAGATATCCAATGTACAGCTGCTGAGCAGGTTTTCGGCACTACATTACGACTGCCTGGAGAATTTTTCATGCCACGCAACATGGATTCCATTGGAATACAGGACTACATGCAACGTTTGTCTACGTTTATGCAATCCTGGTCTACGGCACACACTCAAATACAGCAACGGAAGGTGTTCATACCCACCGAACTCCTAACCTGTTCGCACGTATTCATTCGAATTGATGCGGTAGGTAAACCGTTAAAACAGCCTTGCGAAGGACCTTTTCGAGTTATTTCGCTTCACAAAACGTTCTTCAAGGTTGATCGACATGGTCGCGTCGATACGATTACCATCGAACGGCCCAAGGCAGCATATGTCGACGATGGCATAGTGCACGCCAGTTCAAGACCCGATGTTATGCCTGCACGGCCGATGATTGAGGCACATACCTCAGAGTCGAGCTCGCAGATCGCAGTACCTGTTACGATTTCGAATGAGGCAAGTGCCTCACGTTCAAATCAGCAGTGCACGAACACCTTATCGGACCAGGACGAGACATCAGACTCACGTTCAGGTCGAAGGATTGCTTTGTCTGCCCGTCTTCGGGATTGAGCAAAACACGATCCACACAAGCGTGTAACATGAGCAATACCTAATACGACTTATATCACGAGATGACTTATCTCGATATTTGTTTTGTTTGCTCAATGATTGTTTATGATTGATGCAGCAATTTTGAACGTTAGGATGCTACGCCGGTTTTCTCCGACAATATTTTACTTCCAGAGATGAGTTTATACGAAACGCACATTGGTTGCCTAGAGGTTCAATTTTAGTAGAAGCTGAGGTAGCAGACCTCGACCTGTTGACCTTCATCCAGCCTCTTTGTAACCTCATGCCAAAAGGTGGGCAGGTTAGTCAGGCACGATTTTCTCTCGGTAAACCCATGCTACGCTGGTGCCAAGAGGTTGTGGGCGATTAGGTGCTGACGCACTTGCCCCCCTGATGATTCGTTCCAAACATTTGCACAGAACGGATGTCAGGCTAACTGGTCCGTATTTGCTCACCTTATGTCTAGGTCCTGCCCTGTATAGAGCAACAACAGTTGCCGAACGCCATTCCTCCGGTAATGTACTCGTCCTCAGTGATTGCTCAAAAAGGATAGTAACCGGATGTGCCAGAAGCCCTGCTAGTGGTTGAACTATAGCAGGGTGTGTTCCATCCGTACCTGCAGCCTTATGTCGATTTAGTGACGCGAGCAAGCTGGCTACATCACTCTCGTTGATGATTATTTCACTAATCGTTGGTGTATCTAACCGGGGTGCAGTGGGCTCCACAACATCCCTTTGCATCGGTTGGCGGTATATACTCTTGAAGAAGGCTAAAACGGTGGTTGCCTTGTCTTGGTGTGATGTGGCTAAGCTACATCCACTCATCTCCAAGGTGGCCACATTTTTTAAAATATTTTTGTTGGCTTGTACGTAGGCATAAAACCTTTTGGGATTATGCTTGATGTGCTGTGCCAGTTTTCTTTCGTAGATACACTTTCCTTCTCGTTGTAGAGCTTGTGCATTATTACGAGTCCTCTTGTACTGACACCATGCCTGATGCGTGCCATACATTCGAAAATTTTCCCAACATTGTCGGCGTGTTTTAATTGCCCCATATAGCGTGGGCTGCCACCACACTGGTTCAGGTCAGGCCAGGTTGCATAGGTCGGAAAAGGCTTTCGTCAACCAAGCGTCCAGATTCTTGCTTCGGTAGGAAGGTTTCTTCTCCAAAAGCTTCAAAAATGTTTCAGTCGCTTTCTTGCAACTGTTTTGCGGCAGCAAACTGGTTCCCGTAAAGGAGATTAATTGGAAAACAAATAGCATGTCAACCTAAACAATCTCAGACCCTGCTTCTATACTACCTCTTGGTATATTTGGGTTCAAACCCTGTCTAACTGCCTCTTGAAATCGACTGTACTCGCAAAATCCATCAGATGAGGTGGTAGCTGATTCCATCTATCAACCACTCGGTTTGTGTAGAAGTTAAACGGTACACCGAGGCGAGCCCTTGGTTTTAAGAGCTTAAAGCTGTCTCCCCTGGTGGCCTCTACGGGCGCTCGAGTGAACAAACTTTCGGCGCTTACGGCGGTGAATCCTTTCATTATCTTAAACGTTTCTATGAGGTCACCCCCAAGGCGTCTTCTTTCCATAGAGAAGAGATCTAACGCTTCAAGCCTTTCTTCATATGGCTTGCCCCTCATGCCCGAAACCATTTGGGTGGCTAACCTCTGAACCTTCGCGATGCACTGAATGTCTTTCTGCAGGTAGGGCGCCCAGACATGGACACAGTATTCTAGGTGGGGTCCCACCAGTGCCTTTTACAGTGGGATAAAGACTTCTGCCTTTA